TCCTATCCTATCCTATCCTATCTTATCCTATCCTATCCTATCTTGTCCTATCCTATCCTTTCCTATCCTATCCTTTCCTTTCCTATCCTATCCTATCCTATCCTATCCTATCCTCTTCTTTCCTATCCTGTCCTATCCTGTCCTATCCTGTCCTATCATCATATCATATCATATGTATCATATCTATTCTTTAATGTGCCCCTTATAAACATCGTCGCTATTTGTTGCACAGTATCAGAGAGGATGAATAGATAAATTTTACAATGGAATGGAAGTAAGTTGTATAAGCAAAGTAGTAGCAGACGGAGTATGAAGTAAAAAGTGGCGGCTTTAGCGAGAATGGAACGATCAGTGTAAATTGCTCGGGTCGGGTCGGATTATTTAGCACTTGAACAGCTGCTCACCAACCTCATACAATTCTCCCTTTCTAAATACTCTCTCTTTAAGCATTTAGAAAATTCATATTTTACAATGGCAAATGGTATTAAAGTGGAATTTGAACGGTGCCGAAGAAAGATGCCAAAAGTAAACCTGGAATTAACTTATTTCATCCTTTATTTATATGTTTGCTTCCTCTTATATAAATACTTTTTTTTTAAAAAAAGAAATATTTAATTTTTCTGAAATTTTCCTGAAACAATTCAATTTTTCCGATTTCTTATTTGATCCAGTCCTGTTGATGATGAATATTGCAGTATACATGCTCGTTAAAAATTTTTTTTTTTGAATTTTTTCCTTTATGATTAAAAAAGATTTAATTTCAAAAATGCATAGGTATGATTCATATCGTTAACAATGATAGGAATTGAAATTTATTGAAAAATTTTTTCCTATATGATTTCTGTTAAGATATTTTATTATGATTATATTTGCAGTCAGTCCCTCTTTTTTGCCGTTCTTTTTTATGCGTAACAAACAAAAAATATACATATAAAAAATTTTTATTTGAAAAATTCATATTATTTTAACAAAAAAAAGATATATGTCGAATTTATTTAAAAATTCAACAAACTTTTTTTCAAATAACGCTTATTCTGCTAAAATCAGAGAAGTTTTGCAGTAAAAGCAGAAATTTCAATTGCGGCATTTTCAAGCACATCAGTTAAGTTTATCCTTTCGAAGTAGCTAAATAATTTTCAAAAATTTGTAAGAAAAGATTGGAGATATTAGTTTGCCACTTACAATCAAAAAGTATATATTACTTTTTGATGATTAACATTCCATTTCACTAAACTGAGTTGTTCTGTTATTACCGCAAAATATTTCTAATCACTAATATTTCTAAAAAAAAAAAGTTGCTACTAATTAATAAAGGTTAAAAGGTAGAAACGTTGAAAGTAATTTTCAGAAAAATAAATAAAATGATGAAATAGCTTTGCAAAAAGTATGATAAATAAAGGAATAGAAGATTAATTAGGTGAAAAGCATTTCAGAATTGAATTGATGTAAATTGCTGACAAAATATGATAGTAGCGAGCAAAAGAGAAAGTGGCAGAAATTTGTATCTTAATTTTGATTTTTTCTTTTTTTTTTTCGGAAAGAGTGAAAATTGGTGGAGAATGGTTCAGACATTTAATAGTTTGAAAAAGAAACAAATGAAAACATCAGAATTTATTCTCTGATGTTTTCATTTATTTCATTTGTGATTCATCAAAAATGATTACCTTTTCTCATCGAGAATTTTTTGAAATATATTGCTCTATTGCTAGAATCGAT